GTTTTTTCGGAAAGTTTCAGAAATCTAGTGAAAACCTCTATTAGGTAAAATAACCAACTTTTGCCTGTTCTCACGTAAACTATAAAATTCATAACTAAGTCAAAATCGAACTAGACTACGTTAGAATACCATGATGTACCCTATTTTCCTATGATATATCATGAAGTTCTATAAAAGTTTTAAAAATCAACAGAAAATACTTTGATTCTTGAAAAGTTTCCTAGAAATCTTCCAAGGAAAAGAATATTTTTTACTATCTTAAGTAGAAAACTATATTGAGCAGATAAGAGTACATCATGGTATTCTAACGTAGTCTAGTTCGATTTTGACTTAGTTATGAATTTTATAGTTTATGTGAGAATAGGCAAAAGTTGGTTATTTTACCTAATAGAGGTTTTCACTAGATTTCTGAAACTTTCCGAAAAAACGTTGTCGCGATTCAGCTTGGCTGATAATCAATGTTTCAATCCATTCTCGGGATTACAACAAAAAATATCGATCCTGAAGCTTCCACGAAATCGGATGGTGCGCCTAAACCACGAAAAATGAGGAGGTCACTTAAATCCCGTTTCGTAGAGGACACTTCGGGCTATATATCCATAAATATATCGCTGTGTTAAATTATCCGTTTAGTGAGTTTTCAGAGATTCCTGAGAAAATCGGATTTTGAAAAATAAATTCAACAACTTCTTGCTTAAGAAAAGATGGTTTAACGTGTTGACTATTGAATGGCGAAAACTGCAAATCTCTATCATACTTTGTTCGAAAGTTATTTCAAAAACAGCGATGACTCTTATAATTTGAATAGGATAGCCTTCGAAAATTTAATTAAAAACATAGTTGAATTTTCATCACACCGATTTTTGAAGTTTAAAAGAAGAATTTTGCTAACATTGATTCTTTTTTTTAATAGAACTGAAAGAGTCCAAATGTTTTTTGTACATAGTGAATAGAACCGCTGATTTCATATTGTTTTGTAACGGTGTAAATCTAAGAACGTACTTTTTGCCTAAACGGAATAGGAAATGATTGAGTCTTAATCAATTAATTATATTACCTCATTATGTACCTGTCTAGCAACTTGTAAATTTTCGACAGATAATACTTTTTTTTCTCTTATTATTACATTGTGCGATATATGAGTATTTTTATTTTGTATTTAATTTAACTAGCCTTCAATTTTCATTATTTTGTAGACTTTTTTCTCCGCTATTAGAATTTAATCGTAGAAACAGCGTTAATACTTATGATATAACTGAGGATTACTTGACTAAATAGTTAAAGTAGAAGCGTATATAGCCAGAGATCTCCAGTTTTTCATAGTTTCGAACGTGAAGTAAGACTTAAAGAACCTGTATATGAAATTCAGCCATTTTTCCTGCTACTGAAACTCAGTCGTGAAAATACGCATGTAGGAGCCAAAAATGTTGATTATAAGTTACACTGAATCGAATGTAATTTATTTCTAGATTTATTTGATTAAATATGTTTTAGAATGGTTCTATAGATAAAAAGTCTAATTACAGTAAACGTGTTTATAAATATGAGTGCTAGTCGAACAGAAATGGTTATATTAACTGGAAATTCATATCCAGAGTTAGCAGAAATGATTGCAAGGTTTGATATTGATATTAATATTATATATTTCTGATGGAGTGGAATTGCATGATTAACCTACGAGTGCTCACCACACACGCAAGCTAAACTGTACTACATCTGAAATTTTGCTCGTTTAACTCTATTTCTATTGTTCTTTTCTACTTTTTATCTATGTACTGTTTCTCTTTATTTTGCTCTTCTATTTGTAGTTATGTACATAGTTTCAAAAGTGATGGCTAGTACGTATCATTTATTAACTCTTCGGACAAAGTATCTATTCGTTGTTGTTGGTAGACATCACACAGTAGTAAATAATGCACATAGATTATATTGAAACGAACTATGAATATATTATCTTTCCATGTTGTTGCACGCGCTTTATTTGCTTACTTGTTCTGTTTAAAGTATCTGTTCGCTCAAACAAGTACATCTGGATAATCATCGAGCCGCGTATAAAATAAAATTAAAATTCTATAGACGATTCGGTCGAAGTATCTAATATAGCTATATTCAGTTCATATTTTTTTTTTAACTTAATTGTTGCTGTGATCATACAGAAATCAACTCGTTGATTACTACTTTCTTCTTTAAGTCGTATAAAACCCCTTGGCGAATGCCGTGTGTACAAAAAATCAGATAAAGGTAAGTGATTGAAAAAAATGTCAAATAAATTGTCGATATGTAACTATGTTTTTTGTTTGATTTATTTAGAAACACATGTTGAAATAAAAGAATCTGTTCGTGGCAAAGATGTGTTCATCATTCAAACTGGTTCGACAAAGTATGTACTCTTCAAAATCAGTTCATATCAATCAGAGTTAGAGTGTGAATAAATCAAATTGTATTCTCTTTAGAGTACTCCTCCCCTCATTTTGGGCTTTCCGTAGAATTGTTGTGAAATAAAAACTAAAACCCACTAAGACTTCATATTTTCAGAACTGATTGGAAACTTAATGGAGCACTTTTTCGTTTTTGTTTCAAGTTTTTAACTATGACCCTTCACCAGTTTTCCAGAAAACTCGGTTTTTCATTGGATCACATTACGATCCTCTCTTTAGTTTCATCCAATCTAGTTAAAACTTTTACCAGAGGTACCCAAGGTCATAGCGCAGAGGTATAATTTTGGAATTTTATTTTAGACCTTTCTTTACTGAGTTATGGAAAAATACCGAAAAACTTTCAAAAATTTTTAAAATGTTTTAAAATGTTATAAAACCCCAGAACTCGATAAAGAAAGGTCTAAAAATAAAATTCCAGAATTTTCTGCGCTATGACCTTGAGTACCTCTGGTAAAAGTTTTAACTCGATCGGATGAAATTTAAGGGGGTCGTAATGTGATCTAATGAAAAATCAAGGTTTCTGGAAAACTGGTGAAGGGCACTAGTTTAGAACTTGAAACAAAAAACGAAAAAGTGCTCCATTAAGTTTCCAATTAGTTCTGAAAATATGAAGTTTTAGTAGTTTTAGTTTTTATTTCACAGCATTTCTACGGAAAGCCTAGAATGAGGGGGTGGTACCCTTAAGAGGATACAATAGTAGAGGGATGTTTAGAAAAAAGTTTTATTAAAAAAGTTGTCTTAGAAAGGTCGATTTGATTAAATTTGCGAGTAATGTCATGTTGTTGGCGATGAATAGAGAAGTTTTGGTTTCATTTAGAGATCCTAATGATAACATAATGGAATTACTCATAATGACATATGCGTGTAAAACGTCGTGTGCACGGAATATTATTGGAGTATTGCCTTATTTACCGTACAGTAAACAGAGCAAACAGAAAAAACGTGGATGTATTACAATGAAATTAGTCGCAAAAATGTTAGTAAAAGCTGGTATGAGCCATTTGATAACAGTGGATTTACATCAAAAAGAAATACAAGGGTAATTTAGAAGTGTCTAGTATTTCACTTTTCATTTAAAATATCTCATATTTCTTAGGTTTTTCGATATTCCTGTGGATAATTTAAGAGCCAGCTCGTTTTTAATTGATTACATTCAACAACAGGTACAAGAAGCCATATTAGTAGAACTTACTGTATTTTATGTAATATTTTTTGTTTAAGATTCCTGATTGGAGAAATTCTGTTATTGTTGCTCGAACCCCGAATCAAGCTAAACGTGTCACAGGTTTCGCTGAACGTTTAAAACTAAGTATTGCTGTCATTCATGGCTCACAAGGAACAGAAAGCGATGGAGAAAATGAAGATGGAAGAAATTCACCACCACCACCGTTAGGTACAAAAGAAGAAACGTCGAAACCGATGTCAATGACACATCGAAAATCTGTATTCACAATACCATCATTGGCATTTGGCTCAAGTAAACGGTGGATTATTGTAAATTGTACTGTTTAATAAACCTCAACTTTTTTTTCTCTAGAAAATCCGGTCAAAGGTAAATTGCCGATGGATGTGGTGGGAGATGTTGGTGGAAGAATTGCTATTATTGTGGTAGATACACATTTTTTCTATACAAACGACTTCAGTTATTTATCAAGTTTATTTTTTAGGAAGATATGGTTGATGATATTGCTGGTTTGGTTCAAGCTGCTGACATTTTACGTGAGAGAGGCGCATACAAGGTGTATGTCATGGCAACTCATGCCCTCTTCACAACAGCGGATCCAACATTGATTGAAGATTCTCAGATCTACGAAGTAAGTTCCATCAAAAAGTATGATTATACAAATCATAAATTTTGTTTTCATAGGTCGTTGTCACTAATACTGTTCCACATGATTTTGCTAAATTACAATGCTCAAAAATTAAAACCGTTGATATTAGTCTTTTACTCTCAGAAGCTATTCGACGAATTCATAATCAGGAATCAATGTCCTATTTATTTCGAAATGTTGAAGCAAACGATTAATGTAATGATTTAAAAAATTTATTTTTTATTTACATAACGATTTTCCCAGAACACTTAATGATATTTTTTTCCCTTTTTTTTCTACATGCTTCTTTGCATGCTCCTCAACAAAAAAAGAAAAAAGAAAAAAAAGTTACACTGTTTGTATTGTTCGTATTTTGCATTTGTCACATACTAATTTTGAAGAGAAGACCAAATAAGTGTCTTTATAGTTAGTTGTTCACTTGTTTTATAATAATATCTGTGATGAATTTTTCTCTTATATATAAAGCAATAAATGTTCTACTACTTTTGTCTGAGGTTTTGCTTTTGTCGAAAGTGTGCTTTTGAATGTTGTAGACTGGAATACCAAGTATTATAACAGTCGGATAAAAATTTTGCCAGAATGGTACATGTATGTAACTTGTATTAATAGCAACTGGAATTACACGAAGTTAATCTTTGCATTAGATAATGAACAGAGAACAGTAAAAGTAAACTTGACGTTATTGTTTTATACACTGTACAACAACTGAACTTGTGTAATACCCTTTGTGCTTTGGTATAAGGCGATTAAAACTCTATACTTTCAGCTGCTATTAAAACAACATTATTCATTCAAATGTTTGTCCGTAAAATATCTCTACAGTTAGGTAAAATTCTCTAAAGTGAGTGCGAATCCACAGTAGAAGCTAAATAAAGTGATTATAGTCTAGTATCAGTTCGATGAATTGTGCAAGCAAAAATTTTTAAACATATTTCAAACAAAATTTTATTACAAACTTAAAAATAAATCCTTTTTTTCTCCTTTTAATTATACAAACATTCTCTTCATCTGTATGGGGCACAATATACAAATATCCATATATTTTTTTCTAAAAGCAGCAAAATGTTTTCTCTATTCTCTTTTTTACTCATAAGTACAACAAAGAAATCTGATAAAAACAAAAAGATACTAAAAATAATCATGAACGTTCGAAAACATGTAACATTAAAAATTTCATAGTAGTAGTAACATAAGTATACTCGAAATTCGGCTGTACACTAATTTCTTCATCCATTTTTCTAGTTCGATTTGAACATTAAAAAGAAATGAAACGAATAGAAAAACGAATAAGTTTATTGCACACATCGAGAAAACGAAACTGATAAGATTTCTATTACACTGAGCAAAAATAAGGTCCAATTTAGTGGGATAACATGTACCATTGCTCTATAGGTGAAAATAATTATATTTAAATAAAAAAAAGAATAATGGTAGAAAAAAATTCGTACACCGATCGCATTTGTAGAAAAACCGGTATATATATATAGAAGAATTTAACGAAACACAACAACAATAAAAATAAATAAATGATTGTTTATAGCGTAATAAACAGACATTTGAATAAAGATAATTTTATCTGTTATTCGAGGCTACTGTGCACATACACACAAATCAACTTTTTTCACATTATTATTACAAATTTTCACTTGTTTTATCAACTATATGTATAAAAAGAAAAACAATTTTATACACAAAAGCAAAAAAAGAACTATATGGAAATTATAAGACGGATGTGAAAATGGATTTTCACAAAATCTAGGGAATGAACATATGTTATTAACAAAACTGAATTATTGCACGCAAGAATTAATAATATTTGTTGTTGTGTGCTCTTGTTCAGCTTGCAATTTTTATTACCTTTATCATTTCAAGTCTGAATATCGAAAAGTTTGCTTCGTCTACTAATTTTGGTTAAAATCAAAACACTCATTTTCATTGTGGAAGTTTTATACATTGTCTATTCTTATTTGTTTCTTACTGAAATTTTATAAAAAATTTTAAAAACTATCTGAAATATTTAGTATGCGAGATATTTTTACAAATAACAATGAAGAACTAAAAATGTTCACCAATTTTTAACAGAAATTTTAAAAAGAGGATGATTAATAGACATCATTATTACAAAACTTTTGTTTTCAAATTTTCATGTCAATGACGAAGTAATATAGACACATATAAGAAATTAAGAAAGAATATCGATAATATAGAGAGGTTATTGAGAGATGAATATACAACTAAAATTCTATATAATCATATGGATAATGAAATAGTTTAACCGAATGAAAGTGGACATAAAGGCACAGGTAGACTTCGATAACGGACTCGAATAATTTGCAATATGTTTTTTTTAATTATTTGATTTATGTCTCTATAGAATCATAATTATCCAGAATAAGAACTAATAAATAATAGAAAAAGAATGATTAAAACGAATGTCTTGGAGTTTTCGCACAGGAATGAAATTCGTGAGAATTTTTATATTCTTTTTGTAAATAAATAATAAATACGTAGGTAAAAAGTACAAAAGAACACCGTAACCAAAAATTAAAACAAATTAAAAAAAGAAATAAACGAACAACAACATATACAGTATAAAGAAAGCGAATGCAACTAAGAGAGAGAAAAAGAAAGAGGAAGACATTTGTTCTATTTTATTCTATGCGCTTAACTATACTCACTCATTCTGATGTGGCTTTCTCTACTAAAATACTAGTAATCAAGGGATGGATGATTAGTGCTTTCTCAGATTTGCTAGTATTCATCATAAACTCGCTTTAATGGGAATAGAGAAATTTTTCTACGGATATTTTTGAATATTGTTCTTGTTCAATTGGCTAATACAAATGGAGTCAGAGCATACTGACCTTTTGTACTATTCAGAGTATTTTTGTTGCTATTTTCTGAAGGCGATGGTAAACTAATTGGCGAAAACGACGATTCTTGACTACTACCGCCACTATTATTTCCAAATAAATTATTTGTCATCATTGTTGATGTCGGCGATGGTGACGGTACACTTTTCAATGATAACGAATTGGGTCTTGGTAAGGCTGCGATGCCATTACTGCCACTATTATTGCAATTTGCAAACGGTGTTTGTGCACCGAACATCGATGACGATCTCGAAAAAATTGGTGACGAAGCAGAAGTCATCACATTGTGAGGAGTAAAAAATGAATTGTTGGTTTTATTGTTAAATACAGGTTGATGTTGCATTGAAAAACTATTTTGTGTCGAAATTGATAGTTGATGATGAGGCTGTATTATTGTCGGTGATAGTTGTGAATTTATTGGATGATTGCTCTTCAATAGAGTTGTTGTATTTTGTTGCAATGGTGCTGGTTGATGCAAAAATGAGGTATTCAAAGATGAATTTGGTGTCATAAGATTGTTACTATCGATAAACGATGAAGAAAATTCATTTGTTGGAGATGCTTGTACTTGTATAATACGTTGTAATTGCTCTTTTTGTTTAATATATGCCGAAAATTCACTCGGTACCATACGTTGACATTTTTTACTAGCATGTTTTGACTTTAATGAACCGAATTTTGTTTGAGCAAATGTTGCTGGAGAGATAAACCTAAGAAAAAAAGAAAATACATATAAATTCATAGAATGCTATGTTATTGCTAAGTTAAACTTACATAGGTGTACTTGGTGTTTTATTTACAAATGCTCTGTTATTAGTTGTTAGTGTTGTGGTATTATTATTATTAATAGAACCGATTGTTGGAGATGATACGGTTGGAAGAAGTAAATTATTTGATGAGCGTGAATATTTACTGTTAATGTTATTACTACTATTCATACTGCTACCAGATGAAGATGAACCACTTGATGATGCTAATATACTACCAAAAACTGTTGGCGGGGATGACGGTGATAGATTTATCAGACTACTAATGGATGTTTGTATTATATTATCATCATCGATAATCGGACGAAATACTTGTGCGTCAAGATTAAATGGCTTAATAGAGATGCTAGATCCTAAAAGATTAAAAAATATATTTGTCCATATTATCCTAGAAAACTAACATTACAAACCTTTATTAAATGTTGATCCATCTCTTTCTTCGCTATCACTTGATGATTCACTATTTAAACTATCTTTATTTGTATCATGGTGATTTTTTCGAATTAAACGTCTTTCATCTTCATACAGAATTTTCACTAGAAAAAAAGAAAACGGCTCCTTAGAAGGTCGATGGTTCTTCTATTCAATTTGTTTCACTTGCCTACTCCTTTTTCTCCAATGCGATACGATACTTCTCCAGGATCTATCCAAATAGTTAAATCATTTGGTAATGCATCTAGTATTTCTTGTAAATCGAGTCCACAATCAACGGCAGCATTGACCAATACTTTATCCACTTTTTCTTTACTAATACGTAATGATCGATAGGCACTACCTTTCGTTGGTCTTTCTGGATACCAATGTCCTTGAAATTTCATTCGTAAATGTTTTTCAATTTCTTCTCCCAACATATTAACACGGCTAAGAAAAAAATAATAATATTTACAAACGTCTTTTGATTTAAAAATTATTATTTATAACATACCGACGTGGTAATTTATTATAAAGATAAGCAATAACAAAATTGAGTGCTACAGATACTTCGAATTGCATAATTTCTTATAATATTTAAAATTAACAAATTATTTAATTAATCTATGTTACCTTTAGTCTTCAATCTAAATATAAAATAAACAAAATACAATATTGATGAGAATAACGATTAATGTTCCGCGCCAGTTATTTAAGGTAAACAAAATGGGAGGCATATCTTCAAGGACATATTTAGGGTCGCTTTATTCCAGGTTAAACACAGTCTATAGACCTTCAATACACGTATATAAAAATATAGACTGACTGTTACTCATCATACTGTAGTATATGTGTATCAGTTGTCTTTGTATTTATCAAATTTCATACACCATATGAAAATGATTGACAAGTTGTGCGAAAGATTGGCAACCGTTGCTCATCTATCAAATATTATTGTTCGCTTTTCTCCAACATATTTTGGTTTTCATTTACGTCATTTTTTTTTGAAAAAAAACTTTTTATTTTCGCACTAGATTAGTAGATGAATTAACGTCAAACTATAGGGAAGTTCTTAAAATGTTGTTGATTTTATTTTTCGAGTGTATAGTGGTGCTAAATCTCAATTATGCATTCCAATTTTTTTATTTTATTATGGTTATAATTAATTGTCTCTCTCATTGTAATAAATTCAATATTTAAATTTTATTTTTAATTCTGATAATCGTTTTTACTTTATTTTATTTGTTTTTATCCCTTATTCTAAGTATCAAATCAAAGCCTATAAACATATTTTTAATTCTTTACCAGCAGACGATAGGAAACCAAATACATAGGTAAAATGACAAAAGAAAACGAAAACATAGGTAATCCTTCGAAAGAACGAATAGATCTATGTCAATAAAGATTTTAGCACTAAGAAAAGGTGACGCAGTGTGTAATAGATGGCATCTAAGATATGAAAGAAAAGTCACAATGCAATTTTTTATTTTTTTCATATGCAATGGCAATCAAATATATTACGTGTACTGACCTGTTAAAACCAAGAACGCGATGAAAATGATGGCTTTTCATTTTTTTTTTTTTTTTTTTTTTTGTTTGCTTGATACCTGATGTAAGAAAACCAGAGAGAATATTTTCTGTATAGTGAAAAATGATTGCTTATAATTTAATTACAAATCTCTTCTTCTCTATGTTTTCTAACTCTGAATAGTTTGACCTTCTGCTTAAGAAGTGCGTAAAATGTGATAAACGTTTCACGAATTGACAGCGTTCAAAAGAAAAGAATTATTGTTTGTGTTTTCTCGTTTTGTTATTTTCTGTCTCTTTCTCTGTCTGTCGAACACTAGTAAAAAAAACTTACTTTACATAACCATCATGTACGCTAATATAAAGAATCTCTCATAGGCAGAAAAATCTTGAGTAGTTTTCACTGAATAATTTCTTTTTTTCATTTTCTTCTCGAATATTTTTTGTTTTTTGTTCTAGTTCTAGTTTCCTGCTACTTATACCACACAGTTCTTATATTCTTCTCGCGTTTATTTGTTGAACTTTATTTCGAAACTCCATATTATATTAGAGAGAAGAGAGAAAAGAGACCTAACGTAGATCGACCTTATTTTTTGCAAATGGAATTAGAATATATATGCGCATCTCTGTTCAATAAATTTTATATAGACAGAAAGACAAGTCTTCTTTGTTCCGTAGTCTATCTGACGTATAAAGCGAACATTTCAATAGACATGCCACTCTGACGAGCAAACAGATTTTGTCGCAAGTGAAACTTCGTGATTTGTTCTATTATTGTCGTCTCAGTCTGAGATCTATTTTTTACGCTATTGATTAGCGATGCAAAAAAGTATATAGTAGTAGTATACACGTTTACTTCAAGTATTTTCTAAATTTATTTAAAAACCATTTCTCTCAACAATTTTCTATATTTTCGCTTCCTTGTCGGTTATACCCGTTACTCGTAAGATTGCCAAATGTGAAGGAAGAATGAATGACTTGACTAGGAATTGAATCCAGGACCTCCACATTTGGAATCGATCCTCTAACCATTGCACTATTGAACTGATTACTATCCATCACCACCTTCCTTCAGAAAAAAATAGCTAGCAAGAAAAAGATGATGGAATGAAGTTCTCATTTTGCAATCAAAGTTCGTCGATTTTTCAGAGATCATAAGACAGAATAGAGCCCTTCACCTTTAGTCGTGGGTCTTGAGTATCTTGGATCAACATTTCAACACAATCGAATGATATTTCGATATTGTTGAACGTTTGTAGATGAAAGTGACAAAGAGAAAACCACTTTTACCAGAAGAATTCTTTTGACTTCACTCTCAGTGCATCATCATCGAAAGACATAAATCGACTACGTTTAACGTGGAAGGTTTAAATATTAGGTTCTTGCTCTTTAACATAAGATGAGGGAACATGGATCAGTAAATAGAGAAGACTTTGGACCTCTATCTAAATTTCATCACAATAAGATAATGCAGCACATCCGTCGCTTACATGAATGAACGAGATTCATTGAGGAAATAAAAATCTAGTAGGTATTTTAAAACACCTTATTACTCATCCATAATGGGCACAGCTGATATGGAGTTATTCTTTTCGTAATAATAACACATTTGCAACATATTGTTCTTTTTTATCGAAATAAAAAAGTTTAAAAAACACATTTTTTTTTGTACTAATGGTCGACAGAAAAAATACCACGCATTCTTATCTTTTTTTAATGGATAAACTTGTATAACGCTAACAATGATCTCATACACTAATTAGCCACTTAAGATTACAGGGGAATTGATAATAAAGGAGTTAATAACTATTCAGATTGCTTACAACATTAAATAAGAATACTGTGCAAAATTCAACATTTTTTAACACTAGGACAAAAGGCTCATTTTAAAACAGTCACAAAACGCAGAACTTCTTCATATAACATTGAAGTGATGTTCAACAAGAAGGATGACGGTTTTCAATCAAAGTTTTGATCACATCGTAGACGTACTCTCTACCCTTTACAAAACTGTACTTCTTAAACTCAGAAGATGAATATTGATATTTCTAAAATAATAAGATTGAAAATAATTCTCTTATAGCACTTAAGTATTAGTTTTTCAAGATGAATTTTTCACTGTCTTGACTATTCTATCTCAAATCTATCATTCATAGAAATGAAATTGATAGAAATTTAGACATACCAGTATCAATTAATTGAGTGAGTTATTTGTCATAGAAAAAAACTTTTTAATTCTAAATGAAATCAACTATATGTTTCGAATACTATTCGGTTTTTTTTTCTTCTTTTTAAACAAAAACATATTAAACAAAAGAGATATGATCAATAATTTTTTTTTACGAATTACAAGTAAGTACAGTGAGTAAATGAATGAATGAGAAGATCGTGGGCATATTCTATATATTTTTTGTCATCCAACATCCTGTTTTTTTTCGTTGGCGTACACGCAACTATCATAATTCTTTTTAAATAAAAAAAAGACTACAGTTGGTTTCTGCGCGTATATTTGGAAATAACGATGAAGGATTTTTTTTTCCTCTTCTTTTTTTATTGTTAACAAAAACAAAAAAAGGATTTGAGCGGATCGAGCAGTCTGGTAGTAGTTATTGTTGAAAAACCATAATATTTTTCAGAAAAAAACCACACACACGTACTAAAGGACAGCGCCTAGCATAAAGTAATCTGTACTAGAAGAAAAAAAAAATTAGATATTTTTTATCACCAGTATGTTCTATTTTATTTTTCTTCTTATGTACGACAAGGAAAACTTTTTTCAGAGAATAAAAGAATGAAATAATAATTTGTCACACGGGAAACAGGAGCACATGTTTTATAAACCATCAACTCCAAACAAAGTAAAAACATGCTCTCTCTCTCTCTCGCACTCGTTTTTCTTATTCTTCGGAACTATACGTTTTTCTTGATCGATCGTGCTTTTTTTTGGTTGATTAAGAAAACACTGCGAAGGCGTTCTTCAACTCAATAATTATTACTAATTCTCTTCTCATTTTCACGAAATAAATTTTATTCTTTATATTCATTCTGTTATCTTCACTTTTTTTCTAAACATAAAATGTTGATAATAAAAGAAAATGGTCTAATCAATTTTTTTGGAAACAAACCATTGAAGTAAACTATTCACACTTGATTATAAACGTTCTCAGTTCATATGTGTCTCTCAATTTTCTATCACTTGAATAACAATCCTGTAGAAAAAAGTTTGATAAAGACACAGTATAGCAAGTGGACATACATTAACATACATTTTCTTCACAAAAACATTTTGATGTACATTAATATACTGTTACCAACAAATAGGAGTTAAATGACTTGAGATACACAAGAGAAAGATATTTTCTGGTTTAATTCATAAAACTAACGTTGAAGAATTGTTAAATCTTGTAGCATATCGTTTAACTAATATATTCAACAATACGATTTTTAGCAAGTATTTCTTATAGCAGAAATATTTGACATATTACCTATAATGATGTTATGTTGACTCTCTGTAACAACAAAAATCGTGTTTTCTTTTTTATTCTGAAAGGAATAAATTGCCGAACTAGTTTTTCTTTCTTTTTCTTTTTCGGCTGATTTCAAGACAAAATCATGTATCATGCGGACTGCAAATAATTTCATATGTTTAAGCTGTAAAGAAAGACTCGACTCTGTTTTCTCAATAAAAAAAAATGTCCGAAGATTTCTTCCTTCCATTTACAGATGGCATTGCGAAAGCTTGTATATCAATGGTAATAACGCTATTAACAAGATTGTGGAAAGGACCTATGAACTGATGTTTTGAAAATTTTCAAAAAACCAAATTTATCATTAAATCAGTTTTTCCTTCAGAATGATGCAAAATATTCACGCGTATAGTCGATACATCAGTGATCAAATAAATAGAAAAACAAATCACAACTGACGCAATTTACCGTCTGTTGTAATGGAAGCGTTGTTCAACAGATTCTCTCTCAAAGTTTCTAAGAACGTCGATGGATGCGATGCATCATTCTTTACTAACTATAAACAAAGTTAAAGAATGGCACGTTCCT